AATAGATAGATACAACGTATTTTAAAATTTAAATCATATTTAAATACTAAATTCTTGTAAAAAATAAAATTCATGTTATTTAAAATTATATTTCAAATAATTATTCCTAACAACATAGAAAACACAAATTTTATCATAAATCATAATGAATGTATGTTAATATTATCAGAAATAACTTGTAATGTTTTTTTATATTGAAAACGGGACATGAAAGTGTGAGAGGGTTAAAAACCAGAAAGTGCAATCTCTTTAAAAAAAGATGTCTAAAAAATAATAATTTCCATGTTTATTTAATCAGCCTATAATATTTGTAGCTCACAACTATTTCCATTCAAAAGGGTTGTTAAAATTGCACACTCATATCATATTCACAAACATATTATATTCATATTAATTAGGTACTAAGTTATTCTTAGGTAATTATGTTTACTATTCTTGAATTTGAATTTTCAGAAACGAGTCAGTTTCAGGCTAGTGGAAGAAGAGAAAATCATGTAGAAGAAGTTCCTCTGTAGTCATTTATCAATATTGCAGAGATTTCATGAAGCCATATCACCATGACCATTTTATGTTTGGGTGCTTCTCTAGCAACTTAATTTTGTCATACCCAATGTATTGATCAACATAGATAGATATGTCTATGTACATGTGTAGTGCTCATGTAAGAACTAATATGGAAATGTTTGGCAAATATAACATAAATATTTTAAGAATTTGTCTTAGACTCATTTTTTTGGGGTATAACAATGGTGTACTCTTACCATACCATATGAATAAAAAACTAATCTTTTTCAGGGTAGTTAGTTACACCTCTCAACAAGTTTTACTCCCGGGAATCGAAACATTGACCTTTAGCCTAGTACGATACCAAGAACCTATTTTGAGATTCATTTCTCATCTAAAACAATATGGTTATGCAAAAAACTTCAGTTTTGTTAATCGTTCTTGGTTTTTTTAATTTTTGATTTTTTAGGGTATGTAGTTATCCTTTTCAACAAGTTTTACTCACATAAATTGAAATATTGACCTTTGGCCTAGTACAATACCAACAACCTATTTCGAGATTCATTTTTCATCTAAATCAATATAGTTATGTTAAGAACTTCAGGTTTGATAATCATTCTTGGTTTTTTAATTTTGATTTTTTTTGGGTATATAATTATATTTCTCAACAAAGTTTTACTCCCAGAAATCGAAATATTGACCTTTAGCATAGTATGATACCAAGAACTTATTTTGAGATTCATTTCTCATCTAAAGGTAGGCCAAGAACTTCAGTTTTGTTAATCATTCTTGGTTTTTTAATTTTGATTTTTTTTAAAAACTAAATATCACCCTTTATAAATGGTTTTTAATTATGTAAAAAGAATCTGCAAGAACCTATTTTTAAACTAAAAAATGAAGGGATTACAAACTTGATAAACCTAAGTAATATCTTTGATAAGTATGAAAAACCATTTGTAAACATAGCAGGGTATTTCACATTAGAAAATTGTTTTGCATATTCCACATTGCAATGCTGAGATAAAACTAACATTAAGATGAGACATTCAGCAAGGAAAATTCCTTGCCCATCATAGTGGAAGAAGCACTACACTAAATAGCATCACAAGTCATAACAAGTGTTAAGTATTTCAAACTTCAAATATGCAAGCATGAGTTATTCAACTTCATTTTCGCTTTATTATCGAGTGCTTGATATCGGTCTCTCGCAATCACCGGCAAGTTGCGAAGTTGAAACAGATGCTCATTTAGACCACCCTGCAGTCAAACTTATTTCTAATGGCTTCCCAGAATGCAGGTATTGAGATGTCATCAGGTACTTCCTTAAATGATGATAGATAGTTTACACTTTACATCAACAATTACATGGTCATGAGTCCCTTCCTGAATTACAACATCAAAACCAAAGATGCTAAGATGAAGCATTTTCCTAAGCCAATGTGCGGCGTCTGAACGAGCTTGAGGTCAATAGACTCATTACTTGACATATTACTGTTATTGGCTCCAGAATCCTGAATGCTGTCAGCAGTGGGTAGAGATTTTAGGCTATCAAACAATAGAGGTTTGAGGTCATCACCATTATATGATCTCATCAAAATATCAGCATTCGGTATCGATTTCTTGACAGCATAGAAAACTTTCTCACCCAAGACATAAAATTCGTACAGAGTGGATAAATGATCCACATATTCCTGAATAACAGCAGGAAGAGGAACATTTAAATTCTTAAAATCATTGACTCTGAAAACAATTGCCATCGCGTGTGCATCACTCATGCCACATGCAACTTTGGGTTTTACTACACATGGAAGAGACAATCTAATCTAGCTTCAGCTAACCGAGTCGCAAAGTTAAATTCATCAGAATTGTTAACTTTCAAAAAAATTAGCCCCTCTGATCAAATAGCTGCCTTCAGTGTTTAGTTCTTCCAAGCCAAGTAGCACCTTTTGAATTTCTACTCGATCCAATAAACGATAAATGTTACTCAGAGGGTCAACCACACAGAAATCCTTGTGATGTTCCAAATATCTTTGTAGTTCTTGCATGTTGTGTGTAAAAGTAAGTCTGTTCTCTTCAATAGATAATATTTCATCAGTGGCTTTATGGAGAACTATGTCAATATCCTTTAGTTGAGATGAAAAAGACAGCTTCGACGTGAGAGGCACAAACATCAACCCATTTTGGGTAGGACACAAAGGGAATGCACCCCTTTTCGCAAAATCTTCCACCCGAGAAGACTTCATTATATAACCCACAGTCAGGGCATTGGTTTCGATTGACCTTTTATTTAAGCGATATAGTCAATGGTAACTCTTCTAAATTTTCAATCTGAAGCATATTCAGAGTGTCGCATGAACTTTCACCTCCAACTTTCAGAGCAACAATCATCCAACTATGGTTGTTTAGCTTCGGTAAGAACTCTTTTTTGTTAGAAACCAGATAAAGAATACTGCCATCAGTATTGCTCCATGCAGGCATAACCTCACTTATAAGATCATTTAAGATAAAACAATTGAGTGAGGACGAACTTGCGACTCTTTTGAGAATACTCACATTGTCAACGGGAACGCCCATGGCATAAGAAATTCCCAAATCGATCCCAGACAGAAAGAGTGTTTGGACAAGAGACTCAGCTCCTAGCCTTAGTAAGGATACATTTTTATCATCGTCACCTTCGGCCAAGAGTACTGACTCATCTAATATCACTCCCCTCACTACACCCATCTGAGAATAGATGCACCACTACATAAACAAAATACAATTATCATTGAGTTCAGGACAAGCTTCCATGGCCTATAGAGCTTTGAGTTCAGTCAAAGACAACTTAAGCTTCTGCACATAACTTCGACCACCAAATCCGATGTTATGAAGCAATACATTAGGATATAAAATGGCTTAGTGTAGACCATGAAATGTAATGTCACCTCCCCTTTGGGTGTAGTGAAGTTCAGCTCCTATTTGTTCTAACTCGTTCTTGGAGATTAATAGATTGTGATTAGTTCTTCTTTTTTATCAACATTATATGCAGTTAGATATTCCAAGGACAAAAGGGTATCAAATATCTTTTGAGATTTCTAAATTAGCAAGGTTATTAATAGCATACCGGTTATCAAACTGGTGAGGGTACTGATATATTGGTATAACGGTTCAACTAGTGGTTCATTAATTAAACCACATACCGATGAAGTTAAATATACATGAATAATATATTAACATTAATATTGAAAAATCAATAAATTTTTATTTTCATTAAAAATTAATTTTAAATAAAAAATCAATCAGTATGATCGGTACGGTTCAAAATTGAAAACCAGCCAGTATGATACAATTCTTATACCGTATCAATATTGGAACCGGTTTACCAGTCAACACAAACCGGTTTTTACAACACTGATTGACCTATTTTTAAAATAGGCAACTTTTACATAAGTTTTAAGGGTGAGGATCCACTTCCTCCAAGGTTAAGTTTTTTAAACTTACTTCACGTCTTAACCATCAATTCTAGGGAAATCTAATGGTTTAGATCTACACATTAATTCATACCATTGGATTACCTTAGAATTAGATTACCTTAAATCTAGATCTACACATTAATTCATACAATTGGATTACCTTAGAATTAGATTACCTTAAAAAACTTATTCTCGGAGTCAATGGATATCTCCTCAATTTTTAACAATTTTTAAGGCATCAAAATAGTTGACAATTCCAGGTTTTCAAACATCATGGCTTCTCAAAACCTCCATTCCATGTACACCATAAAATGATTAATTCCATAATCTATTTCATTGCCTACTCTAATTTAGAAATAAATTAACAATGTTTGAGGTTGTCAACATAAAAAGAATACAATTTTGGATGATGGGTAAGGGTAAAGTTTTGATTTTTGAAAACAGGTCTAAACATAGCAGAGATTAGATTAAAATAACAATGAAAACTCGAAAAAATCAAACATGCAAATTGGAAGAGGCAGGGATGAATCTAGCTCATACCCGGCACAAAGATTTTCTCTATCTGATCTGAGGAATTTGCTTGTCCGAATTGGTGGCTTGAAATTTGAGGAAAATGGTTTAGTTGGAATGAACAACTCTCAGATCAGAGTTTCAAAGTTTACTCTTTAAGTGTTTGAAAAATATGACAAAATTTATGCATTTATGAAACAGTAAATGCACAATTTCCTCTAAACAATTTTGTGGATCATTTTAATTCTCAATCAAATTAAATTACCAAACTTAGGTCTTTTTTCGTTAAAGTTGACAAGTTTACGATTATCTGTAATTTACTCCTTAATATATCTGTAAAATGTATCTGTAATTTACTCTTTAAGAGTAATTTGCATTTTTGCTAACATAAAATGTCTCTGTAAAATATATTCAAAAACAAGAAAAAATAGATTTATGATGACAATGGTTGTGGATATAAGCATTTGTACCACTCCATCACTCACCATCTTTTATTATTTGTAAGCAATTTGATTGCAATAAAATAAATGTTGGGGTAGACATCCCATTATACTAGTAAGCAAAGTTTGGGAAAATTAAGTATATGGTTGCTCAAATAAGAACATGGTTATATTTATTACTTCAGTTTTAAAGGGGAAATAAGAAAAAATGGAAGGCTCCATTCTCATTTCATCGGTATACTTCATGACCCTCAAAGTCTTCCCTTTCATTTTCTTTATCTCCAAACTGGCAAACAGACCTTAAAGAACATCGACAAGATACAGGTGGAAAAGAAAACAATAACCATAAGATACTCATGACAATTAAATAAGGTCCAAATAATTGGTTAAGTAAAAGGGGGAAAGTAGTGCCAGCTTCACACCTTATGCAAAGTGCAGGAAGAATTCTATTCTGTGGCTATAGAGAAGCAAAGAAAGGTTAATCAGCGCTTCACTAGTTTCCCATCCTGAACTCTGTACTTATGAGAAAAAGTTATTACTTGGACTTGTCAACCAAAAATATTATGATTTGGTAACTAAAAACTAAAGTTAGTATTCCAAAACATTTCCCTTCCATACCACACCTTCAAACTAATAAGTGGCATAAGACCAAGTTCTAGTTCATTTGATTTTCTCTTTTCTTCTCTATATGTAATACACTCTAGGTTTATCACCTATAAAATAAAAGTTATGGTTTAGATTATAAAATACAACTTCGAACCTTATGGCTCATACAATAGCCACTAACAAACATCATTCCGTTAATGGAAATGATACTTACTCGATAGCCCAAAAGCTAATTAGAATGAAGAAGGATGGGGATCACCTATCCCGAAACCAATAACATATTACCATATGAATAAAAGAAATTTTTTAAAAACAAAACGTAACATTTTCATTGGCTCGGGACAGGGAATGAGACACCGTTCGACACATGTGATCTCTATCAAATAGCGAGAGAATCATCTTACCTCATGCAAAAGGCAAATATCCTTATGCCCCATCAAAAGCAAAGAGAATAAAGGAACAGTATAAGTTTATGCTTGATAGTGGGATTAATATGAAGCATATAGTTGATCAGCATAAAATTAACCCTTCTCAGAATCTAACATATTCTCACAAAACCCTCCAGATACAAGATTAAAAGAGTCCATTGAACAAGGTCCCCTACATTAACAACAACCACATGCATTTCATTATCAATATTACACAAACACCCATCAAATGAACCAACTAAACCAAATTTCCCTTTCCAAAAACAATAGTGTTGCATGCATATACTTACACACAAAAACACCTCACACTGTCACACATGCTGATTATAACTAGACCTATGTCAATTTTTGCACACATATATCATGTGACCAAAGTTACCTAATGCTGATGAATGAATGAATAACATTTGCTTTATCACACCACTCATGCACTAAACATAGGCAACAACATAAGTATCTATGTTGAGTTTATTCAAGTGTGCAGTCTCACATTGGATATACGGAGAGAACTAAAAGAGTTTATAAGTAGAAAAACTCATGAAACTAATGCCTTAAGGTTTGGGTTCAAGACGTGATGTCTCATTTATAGCTCTTCACTCTTCCCATACCCTAGTAACCATGAAGCTCCCTAGTGGTTTGAGGCTTCCCGATCGCAATCTGGTCCAACAGTATCTCCTACTTCTTTATTTACATTCTCAAATTCTCTCACTTTCTCATTCTATACCTTGACTCATAAGGAGTAAATTCCAAGTCCCAAATACTCAAAAAATGGTGCAAAAAAAGCTTACAATAACAATGCTTCTTCTTTTCTTCATTTCGTTATCATCTCAAGTTGAAGACTTAACATCTAACAAGTTAGACCAACCAGCATACACTGAAATCAAGTGTGAATCATGCTCTTGTGGAGACACATGCGCCGCGCAAATTTCTCCACCACCACCACCTCCCATGCTTCCATCTTGTACAGGTATTTGTAACCCTTCGCCGCGGCCACCACCACCACCACCACCAAGGTTCATATATGTGCCAGTGCCAGGGAATGCAAACCCAAATAAACCATATACATGGATTTATTATTACTCTGGTGCTGAAAACAGAGGTGTGGACTTTCTGGTTATGGCTGGTTTGGGATTACTCTCTACAATGCTATTTGGGTGAGATTTCACAAATTAAGTTGAATAACTTCTAAACAAGTTTAGTTTGAACTTTGAATGTTTGATTCTCTTCCTTATTCATGTTCTGATTTTTTATCTTCTATATAATTGATCCAACTTAATCTATTATATTTTTATTTTTCAGCACTTAAAGTTTCCTGGTATAAACTTGCAGGAAAGTTGATTATAGCATGTAAAGCAGAATAATTTAATTTTTACATTAATTCAGTGCAAATAAAAATTCCTAGTACTTTTGAATGAAATGCATTGATTTTGTATGATTGAATGAATAATTAGGATTAAAAATTAGTTACTTCTCACGATATAGTCACATGCATATATATTTTAATCCTATAAGATTTAATAATTCATATTAGTTGTTCTCATTTTTCATTGTTCTCGGATCAAATGGATAATAAATAGACAATGTCACTTCTTATCATGTCTATTATGAACATGTTAGGTTTAAAATATACACGATGATGATAAGAAACTGATTTTGGGATTTTTCGCATATTACTATTGTTGCCTGAATTGGAAATGTGGAAATAGATTTTAACCCCTAAAAAAACTTTGATTTTGAAAGATATAATGTACTCCAGAAATTAGAAAGAATATGGTTCTCAATTTTCGTTTACTCAAACTGTTGGGCCTTATGTGTAAAACCATCATTAAAAATGGTATCTTTGTAGGGAAGAATTATACTAATTGTAGGGCCTTATCCATTGAGTTTTAGTGAAATTATACAAACATCTCTTCATTTTTTGTCCTTACACGAATCATCACTCATTTTGTACATATATTAATTACACTGACTACCCCCGATGAGATATAAGTGTAATATTTTAAACAAAAATCATGTGAAGTGTGTAATTAAGTTAAACAAAATATTGTATATTGTGTAGACAAATCCAAATAATATAAGAGTTAATGCATCTTCCTTATTTGATTCATTACAAAATAATATAAGGATGATATAAACATTTCATTAGAATTGTTAATATATCGTGTAATGAAACATAAATAATAAAAAGACACTCAGTTGTCTACACAATATATAATATTTTGTTTAACTTAATTACACTCACCACACGTTTTTTGTTTAAAATATTACACTTATATCTCATCAGGGGTGGTCAATGTAATATATATATATAAAATTAGGGGTGATTTGTGTAAGAGAGAGGAGTTGTTCGTGTAAAGACAAAAAAAGGAAGGATAATTTGTGTTTCACTAAAACTCAGGGGTATCAGTGTAATTAACTCTTAATAAAATTTCAATAGTGATATGAACAACATAAATATCTATGAATTCCCAAGATTTCTTTATGCAATTTTAAGAAATGTGACTTTTATAGGCAATCAAAAATAAATGAATCATTATGAAAATGATAAATGTTAATTTTTCATTATTTTATTTTATTACAGTATATAATATTAATAATAATTAACCTTTAGGTGAAATGACATTGTGCTTGAGATAATAACTCATGAAAAGGATTCTCATAGAAATAATATAAAGTAAGGATCATTTTCCATACTAAAGAGTGGAAAAGTAATTCCTATCGAACAAAATAATATACAATGACATTTTTATTTTTTATTTATAGTAAAATTATATTTTAATTTTTTATTTATAATAAGATGACATTACGATGCCAAATTTTGGTGTCCGAGTCAAATCTCAATTCTCACATAGATCAATCATGCAAATCTTACTTCAATATTAGGACTCATATCTACCCATTGAGGAGTATTGTTCTTACACGAACAAACTCTCTCTGCTCAGGTTCATGCTAATATTCAAGGAATGTTTATTATACATATATAACTAGCAAAATACCCGTGCATATGCACGAGACGGTATTTTCTGTCACATGGTCAATAACACACATGTTACTCATACATTTATATGGTTAAAAATAGACATGCTACTTATACATTCATATGGTTAAAAATACATATGTTATATGTGCATTCATATTGTTAAGAAATTTTAATAGTTAAAAACACACATGTTACTCGTAAATGGGATGAATGGAGTAGAGATGAAATGACTAAAGTATTCCAACAATATTAAATATATACATATAAATATATCACACAATTTACATTACATTGATATTAAAAAATTCATTATATAATGACAAAGTTTCCCTTGAAAAATTCAAGTGTCAAACATAGGATATTCATTTTAGTAATTATTATTTCCTCTTTGTAATTATGCTAGCCTATGAATTTTGGACGGGAAAAAATGAACATGGTTGTGACACATGTGAAAATGAATATTGATGAAACTTTTTTCTTATATATAGTATATGTATTAAATGTTATTATTATTATATCTTATTAAATAATATATTCGGTAATGAATAATGTATATGAGTGTATTTTTATCTTGTGTGGGAGGTCATACAAAGTGAGGTGTCTTTATCATGTGTGGAAGATCGTTCTTAACCATACTTTTTTGCCGTATGGTTAAGAACACACATATTACACGTACATTCATATGAGACGAATTAATTTTGACATATATTTGAAACCACGTAATTATCAATTTTATTAAAGATATATATTAGTAACATTTTGTAATCTATTATATATATAAGAATACAATATTGTGTAATTGATTTAGAGTTTTTTTATATATATTTAATACAATGTGTGAGGGTACATAATAAGAATATGAACCAATTTTGGAGGCAAAAAAGTTAAGGAGAAGTTGACATGTGTCCATGATGATGTGGCAAGAACATTTTTTTCTTATATATATAATAGATTCAAGAGATTATAGAAAATAAATCTTGATTAGTCCTTGATATAAAATATGCATAAAAAACCGTGATGTCATAAAAAACCGTTATGGCTTCTTTGTGTGCTAGAGTTATTAACTAAGTTTAGGTCTATTAACTAAGTTTGGAATATTAACGTGGGTACCAATTTTGTCCATTAGACTAACATGACATATATATGGAATGACATGGTGGATTTAAGAGTGAGTGAACCGGAAAATGTGTGGTATCTGTTGGGAAATTCAGAAACAATTTTCCTCCTCTGTATGATGCAAAATGGGTACTTGTGGAAGCGGTAAGTGAATAAAGTAAATAGAAATAGTAGAAGAATGACACAAAAAATTTTAACGTGGAAAAATCTTCTCAATGTAAGAAGGAAACAACCACGAACCACAGGACCTAGTCCAGAAAATATCTCCACTATATTTGACTCTCTTACAAAGAGGATAACACTCAATCTCACCCAAAAAGGATAGAAATACAAACTCTCTTTAGTATCTCACTAAGAATACAAAACTCACACTTAAGTGGATATAAGCTCTCTCACTTTCTCTCTATATTGCTCTTCCTCACTTGCTCATACATTTCTACTTCACAAGTTCCCTTTATATAGTGAAGGGAATGAAGAATTCATCATATAGACATAGTGGATGATTAACTATTGTCATACTTTCAAGATACCTTGAAAATGATATTCCAACTTCCTAAGTTGCACTTCATGATTCTTAAGAGTCAATGAGTAATTCCAAGACTTACTCCAACTTTCTAAGTTACACTTCATGGTTCTCAAGAGTCAGAGAGTAATTCCAAGACCCACTCCAACTTTCTAAGTTAGGCTTCATACTTTCCAAGAGTCATTGGAAGAGTCATCATACAATGGTTCATCTATCAAGTTGCATTGGTTATACTTCCACATCAATTAGGAATGATTCCCAACAGTACCGACACTTGAGGGAGAGATTGTTGGGTTTATTCAAGTGTGGCTTAAGGTTTTGATTTAAGACATGGTATCTCATTATGAGGGGATTAATAAAATAGTTTATAAGTAGAAAGCCACATAACTAACGCCTTAAGGTTTTGATTTAAGACATGGTATCTCACTCGTGGCTCTCCACTTTTCTCATACTCCGTTAATAATGAAACTCATATGAGACTTTGATAAATGTTAATAAAGATTAGAGATTGAGAGAATTGTTAAAATGTGATTACTTATGGTTTGTGAGGGATATGAATGTGACTCAAATGGTTAGAGTGAGATGAGTGATTTGAGATTTTAAAGTGTGAAACATATAAACTCCCAAACTTTGAGCCATTCCAAAAAGGATTGGACTAAGAGCCTTTACTAGCGTATCATTTTATACAACAGTTTCTTTA